CTTCTGCCAAAGGAGCATCCCGTGGAGAGGGCTGGGGTCCTGGGGGAGGGAGGTGGCCCTGCAGTTTGATCAGTTGCCCGCAAAGGAGCAATTTCAACATATGAAAGGAATGTGTCTCTGACCCCACCAGAGATGCAGGCTGTGCCTTAGGGATGGGGATGACTGTTGCTGGACTGACTCACCGGCCGCCTCTCCACAGCCGCTTCCTTTCCAGGAGTCAGAAACTCCCAGTTTTTATTTATCACGTGGCTTAAAGCAGGGGGTAAGGAAGGAAACGCTCTTATTTTTAACTCCTCTATCTCCCCGGGGCCTGGGGGAGCGAGTGCTGGCCCGGCGAGGTGGCCGCCCTGCTGCACATGCCCACAAGCATCCCCGTGGCCGAGGTTCCTCACCCACCTGCAGCCTGTTTGCAGCTCCCAAGGTATTTTTGGGTCTGAGCCCACGCACAAAATGTCCCTGTGGGTTGGGAGCTGCCCAGAGACCCTGTGCAGAGACGGGACATGCAGAGTGATGGCTCAGTGTGGTCATAGCTATGTTGAAGGCAGCTGAGAGCGAATGAGACACATGAGAAATGCACTTTTTCCTCTCCTAGAAGCAACCTGTCCATGCTGACAAACCCTGGGTGGCAGATGCTGGGGGTCCCTATTTGTGCCCACCACAGGGACAGAGCTGTCACAGCCTGGGATCTGCACATTGCTGTCCTGGTGCTGAGGATGCGGAGGGTTTCATCCATCCTACCTTCACCCAGGGAGGATTTGGAGACCTGGCAGAGTAGTGTCACCATCTCCAGGGTGCAGCCCTGAAACCTTTCAGGTTCCCCATCCTTGATGGAGCTGAGCTGGGATGTTCAGCCCTGAGCATGGACTGGAGACGGTGTCCACCATCCCAAGTGCTGGGAGGGGGCTATCTCCGGCCATGGGGTGGGAAGGAGACTTCAAGAGGCTCCGTCTTGCTGCTCCTCATTCTCCTGGGTGGGAGAAACCAGGCCAGACACCTGTTTGTTTAGCGCAGTGTGGGGTTTTTTGTGCTTTCAAATGATTTTTAGTGCTCAGGGCTCTGCAAACATCGTCCTCCCTTGTCCCCAAAGGATGGGTGGGTTCTCATGAACCCAGGGGCCTGGTTTGGGCCAGGCTGGGAGAGGTGGCATGGGCAGGTCGTGGCGCCCCTTGGCTGAGATGCTGCTTGTGCCTTTGATCAAAGCGGCTGATCAGTGCACCAAGTTTGGGTCTTCCATTCCTTGGGGGCTTTCTTTGCGGTCCTGTTGTGAAACCTTCATTTGCTTTTAACAGCTGCAAGTTTTTGTGTGTGTTTTTTTTTCTTATGATCTTTTCTTTTCCCCCTCTGTTGCCCTGAGATAAAGGCTTCTAAATTTGTCCTGTGCTGAAAACGCAGCTAATCCTGATGGACCTGAATTCGCATCTCCCCCGGAGGAATTGCACTAATTTTTTTCCCTTTGTTCTGCCAGGGGACCTGTCCGTTTCCTAGTGGAAAAAAAAATATATATTCACTATTTAGGGCAAGGTTTATATTCCTGAAACCTGTGTGTTTGTTTGTAAGAAAAGAGGACAGGAGGGAAATAAATGAGAAAAGCATCATGCTTTTTTTTTTTTTCCCCCCTTCTGATATTGTTTTTACAGCAGGCGAGTTTTAATTAAAGCGAGGAACTAGGGCACTTGTCCTGTCCAGAAGATGCTCTGAGGACATGGTCCTTTTCCACCAGTGTTATATTGGGAGCCTGGAGCTGGTCCCCAGCCCTGGGGTGTTGGGTTGGCTGCAGAAAGGCTCCTCATGGGCCTGCAGGGACTGGGTGGGGAGGACTCCTCACAGCTCCTGGTTGGATGCAGCTGTGTTGGGTGGTGGGTGAACCCTGTGGCACCATCAGGTTGGAAGGGTCTGGGGAGGGTGGCTGGAGCATCACCCTGGTTTGGGGGTGCAAGAGCATCGAAGTGGGGGAGGGTTTGGGGTGATGGTGTGGGGGCAGGAGGGGGACAGATGGTGAGAGCAGAAGCAGGTATGAACTG